AGAAAATAATAATAAACACCGAGTACACCCACAGAGAGGTAAGTGAGAAGGGGTTAGATACATAGAGAGGTCTGGAAGCTCTGAGAACATGAACCATACAGCCTTCCTAGTTTTCTGTCATACATCTCATACTTTGTCCCAACAACAACATACAGTGTTGATTTTCAGGTGCAAATTTTATTGTGGATCATAACAAAGGTTTCAGAAAAAGCATAGGGAAAAATTAACAATAGAGTGTCTCTTACTTACAGAGTATATAAAATATATTCTGTGAAAGCTACTAACTGCAGCTGAAAGCAATGCAGCTTAATTTAAACTAACCATTATTTTCAGATACACATGTTAAGAAGCAAATTTTGCAAATATTCTTTTTTCTCAATTAGTTTGATATTGAAATTGAGAATCAAATATTTAATGACACTAACACTGTTGCAGAGTGTGTAGTACTAAACTGTTAGACAGCAAAGAAAATCTCATTATTGCAAAAAGAAATAGTCACACAAAAAATATTGTCAGAATACATAAAATTAGCCCTAGTAAATGTTAAATGACTCAAAACCTCTTCGGAAAATCTGTGAATGTTGAGGTATGCATAATTTTGGAATTTTGGTGCTGTTATCTCCATTTTTCATATGATACATCAAAACAAAAGGTCTTGCTTTAATGATACCTTTTTACAAAGGATTTCTTCAGCCTTTAATTGTACTTCCACTGTAAAGACGAAACCCACACTAATTCTTACAGTAAAATGACAGAAGTCTGTTAGGTAACAGTGTAGTCTTGCAAGAGGTCTTCAAGGCACTGTTCTCTTTGGGTGCTTGGCACACACAGAGGCCATTTATGAAGGCTGTTTTGATAAGAAGACAAGAATAACAAAAAACAGACCTAAAGCTAGAATCTAGTATATTAAATATCATATATATATTTCTCTAATGGAATAAAACCCATTACTTGTAAAAGCCATTCTGCTTTAGAACACTGTGACTTGCAGTAAGGTGTCTGCTGACTTAATCCAAAACATGGATTTAAAAACGTACTTTATGAAAATAAGGAAGAACAAATATCAGCTGAATAGCATTTACCTCAATCAATATAGTCTGCCTGAATATAAACCATTCCCAAGTACTGTAACCCTCTGTAAAACAGAAAAGACCAAATGCTCTGTTGATTTAACACCATTTGTTTACATGGAGACATGCCAGTCAGCAACTTGGTCCACAGTCAATCGAAGTAGATTAGGACCTTATCCAGCACTCACTGGTCCACTTGAATTCCTGAACTTTGTAGCTGAAAGGGCTGTTGCCCCCCTATAACAGGAAGGTATCTCCTGACTAAGAAATCTGCAGTCAGCTCATTTAATAAGAAACGTGGTGTGTCTGTATTCCATTGGAAATACAGAGCAACCCAATTCTGGACTTCATCTGTGTATCTCAGGTAAACTTATGCAAAGACTCCTTCAATATCTTTTTTCTATGGCCTGGTCTTTATGGCAACTAAAAGCCAGTCAGCTGGGAAAGAAATCTGAATGGAACTGACCTCAAGATACTAGGATTTTTTATAATTATTTTGATAACATCTTTTTGACATACAATTAAGAATCTGTAGTTCCTCTTTGGAAAAAATAAGTTTTGTGTGGCTGACAGAGCATGCCAGGATCCATCAACAGAGAGAGGATGCCTATGTCCAACCACAAAACAAATCTGAATGCCACATTGGTGGATGCAATGGATGTATTAGAAGTCAGAGAAGCACAGAAAACTGTGTTCTTTTGGCAGTTTCATAAAGCCCCAGCAGCAGAAGTGTTCATTTTTTGTTTGTTACTCAAGGCAGCCAATAATCTCCAGGCTGCCCATGGACTCAGCTACCTGTGGGCCTTCATGTGACAGAGTACAACAGACAAGCACATTTGTCTGGTGGGCGAGATCCCAACACCACTACGAGATCTTAAGGCAGTGGCTTGGATTCATACAACCCAGCTTTAGAAACCTAGCTAAAGCCCTCAGATAGCAGCCTCAAGATCAGAAGATCCCTCTGGCACCTGGCCTCTCCAGGTGCTTGTTTGCATCTTACATGGGCTAAATCCATTGATTTGGATCTATTTAATCATTTAAAGTAATTATAAATAAAACCAGGGTTTACCTAAAACTTAAACAACTTCTGTTGTAATATAAACAGAGAGCAAAATTCTGCATTCAGCTGTACATCAGTATAGAGCACTGTGTATCACGAATACGTGATAGGTGTCAGCAGAATTTGGCACAGCTGATTTAACATTTCACTTCCCTGAAGGAAGGTGCTGGCCTACACTGATTGCTCAAGAGCAAACTGTCTACAGCAGTATTCTATAATTCTATAATATTCTGTATCAAAGCAATAAATATTACATATAATCTGTATATTAGATTTCATATTTATCTGATAGCTATTTAAATCTACACGCTCAAAAATATAAGCAGTGACCCACTCCTACATAGCAGCATATAGTATTTGTGTGAATGCAGTAAAACTATCACATGGGTCTGTATTTACATAGGACACTCTTGTTTATATAGCAGATCTTAATTTACATAAATTCTTACCATAGGATGGATAATTGCGTAAAGGTTGGGTATTGTTTACATGTTTCTGTGGTTCTGCATAATTGCATTTCAGTATGAGGATTTTGTCATTCTGTGTCAGTTTTATGTTTTTTAAGGATGGAAAATAGAGTATGACAGACTTCAAAATCTCCAGGAATGTTATACCAATATAGCACAGGTATACTTATTTTCAAGTCCAGGCAAAAAACAGTTTCACTGTTCCTAACCTTTTTCCTTTACGTATATAAAGCTCCTCTTTAAAGCAAGTGCACTCCTGAAACAAGGGAAATCAAAGTGTTTTGGCATTGCTGAGATGCAAAAGAGTATTTCAGCTGAGCATGATCTGCAGACAAAAACATCATACATTTTTTAATTAACAATTGCAATTACTACAGTTTAGGTGTGCAAAATAAAAACTTATATGTGAAATATTAAAATAAGCTGAAATTGCTGCTGGTAGATACATGAGAAGTTATGTCTCAGTTTGCCTAAAAAATGTTTTGTTAATTCCTATCAATTAGCTTCTCAGATATTAAAGATACAATGAAAACATGTTCATTTTCACTGAGGTCAAAACATCTAGTGTTCAATTTCTGTGTTCAGAGAACATCCAGCTATTGTCCTTTGAATTAAATACTGACTTTCCTTTACAAAAGTTGCTATTTACTTCTCAGGATAGCAATTTCTGTGCCTCCCCAGGAGAAATCTGTATCAGCTTATTATTAAAAATAGTGTTCACCAAAGACAGAACGTAATTGCTTGTCTTCCTTTCATGTTAATGTTGCACTGGAAAACCTACATTAAAAAAAAAAAGCCCTGGAAAATTGAAAAATATGTAATGCTTTATATACTAAGTAACATATAGCTGTTATTGACTGTTCTTGCCAGCACTGCGTTTCTTCAGATGAACAGGCTCAAGAGCTGACAGATTGCTTTCCCTTTCACCTATACCAGTTCTGCCTTAATTGGATGACTGTTAACAAGTCTCCTTTCTGCATTAAGCAGTCTGAACATCTCTAAACAGTTGTCCGCTAATTTCTGCCTAAAGATTTTTTTCCTTGCTGTGTAATCCAGGATCCCAAGAATCTATGGCTGCACTGGAACACTTATTTTTGAAAGGTATTAATGTTAACATCAAGACTTCTAGCAAATGATTAATCTACTCTTCAACAGTGCAGTTTTTGATGATTAACACTTGTATCAGACAATATCTATCAGCTCCTTTATGATCTCTTTCAGCTCCCTTATGGAAATCTACTCTGGAGGTTAGTATCAAGTGTAAGGGAAGAACCAACTCCTGTTTCTCTTTTCTGTCTTTGTTAAAGCTAAAACCAAACAGATACAAGCTTCTATATGGTTATAATTAGAAAAATGTACTCTTTATAGCTATGTAAAATGACCAAAAAACCTTACACTGTAACAGAGTCTTTGTGGATGGGAGTAGTTTTGAACTAAAAGCAGTGCTGTTTTATCTGAAAGCTACAGGAATGTTTCTGGAACATAAAACTTATTTTTTGTGTTGGACATCATGCAGCAAAATGTATTTGTCATAAAATCAACCACAGGGACAGATTCTAAATCCTATTTAGCAATAAATCTACATTTGCAACCTGGTGATCATGTGTTTAAACTACTAAAAGAAAAACAAGCCATTCATTTACTTTCTAATATTATGTAATAATAGAAATATTATAGGAAAACGGTATTATAAAGGTGTGTTTTCCTGAAATGTGTACTTGGCCAAAAAGATCTCCTCCTAAACCAAAACCCAATTACAAGCTGCAAAATGTGCTTACGCAGAATGCTCAGTAACATATACTTAAAGCAGGGTATCACATTATAATGTCTGAAGGAATGAGTAGCCACTTCAGTTTGTACCCATAAAATTCAAGCTTAACAGCATTGGAAATATAAATTCATCAGGTTAAGTGCTTGAGAAAGTCTGTTCTTTTTAGCTGTGAACAAGAGCATTTAACTGTTTCTCCCCATACACATTTCTCATAATTAGAATGCAACCATCTTATCATAGATAGAAAATCCTAGATTAGAAAAGATGTATGTAAATCCATTAAAAGAGATACTCAGTGCTGAATCTTCCTATGATTGGCCTCAAAGGCCGATTTGGTTACTAAATCTTCTTTTCATTCTTTCATCACCTACTACAAAACAGTGTGAAGACAGTTACAACTGAAACATGAATTCTCCCAGAATATATCCAAATACCTTGGTCCAAACATTTTTCTTCATAATTTATGTTAGTTTTAAATCTACTATGAAAATAGTAGTGCATGAATAATCAATTAAAAATTCTTCAGATAAATGGTTTAGTTCCTTTTAGGATAAAGATGCAGAGGAATACTGATGAAAAATATGCTAGTTATGATGCTTTGTTAACACTCCTTTATGTCCCAAATGAATTCTTCACTCCACGTTCCTGTATTTGGTAAACAAATTGTACAGTACTCTCAGTGTAGACTTCAAGTCACAATTTACAATATCTAGAAAAAAAGACAAGGGAAAGAAACATTAGTGACTTCATTAGCTCAAAACATTTTCAGGAAAAGTGCCTATTCGCTACTCTTTTTTCTTACTCAGATCCATATCCATAAACATTTGAATCACAAAGATACTAAGAAAGTGTAGAAACATAAATAAAGCACAGTTTTTAATCTGGAAACTCAAAAATCGTTATTTCAACCACTTTTAGTTACGGATACAAATGGCTAATGGTGCTCATGTAGAAATGCAACCAACGTTTAGATGCCCATAAGACAAATTGTGTCTTGGATCATGTATATTTATATGATTGAATCTTCCAGTTGGTTGTGGCCAAAAAGTAATGATTTTGAAAAAACCTCAGGCGGGAACCACTGGAACACTTCTCTTACGTAAGAATTGCAGAACTTGGCCTATTCTGGTCTCCAACATCCTTTATTAGGCCTAATTTCAGCAAGATAGCTACAGGCAAGTTTAAATTTTCTGAAGGATCTAAAGAAGCTAAGTCTACAAGTGCCCCGCAAAGATACTTCTGAAAATGCTTTGGGTTAGCTGATGCACATGGCTGAATCAGTCCTCAGAAACTCAACATCTGAAGTAACGGACTTGTGTGAAACAGAAAGCCAATGAGTACCTGCTGTTTCCAACAGAAGTTGTTGAGAAAGTCAATATTATTTCACAAGAAATCTATGAAACAAACTGACAAGTACTACTGCAGCAGTCTACGCTAGTGCTTCAAGGAGTATCCAGTCTCCAACAGGGACTCAGAACTGCCCGCAGAAAGAATAAGAATTTGTCGTATCTCTTTCTGCTGACTGTGTAGGAACTCAGTCCCCCAACTTTGGCTCTTGGAATTGACCCTGAAGGTGTAAAGCAGATGGCATGCATACTCCCATTATCTTCAAAACCCTCAAGTAAGCCTTGTAAATTGTGTACATAATCACCAGTTTTGCGAATGTACACCGATGTTGCTCAGAGATTGTGAAGGAGTTACGCTTTGAAGAATGAAGGTAGAATATCAGAAGGATATTGACCACTTGGAGCGAGTCCAGAGGAGGGCCACGAAGATGATCAGAGGGCTGGAGCACCTCTCCTATGATGAAAGGCTGCGAGAATTGGGCTTGTTCAGCCTGGAGAAGAGGAGGCTCCGAGGAGACCTCATTGCAGCCTTCTAGTATCTGAAGGGGGCCTACAAGGGTGCTGGGAGAGGACTTTTTACAAGGGCCTGTAGTGATAGGACAAGGGGGAATGGGTATAAATTGAAATCAGGGAGGTTTAGATTAGATATCAGAAAGAAATTCTTCACAGAGAGGGTGGTGAGGCACTGGAACAGGTTGCCCAGAGATGTTGTGGATGCCCCATCCCTGGATGTCTTCAAGGCCAGGCTGGATGAGGCTTTGAGCAACCTGGTCTAGTGCAAGGTGTCCCTGTCCATGGCAGGGGGGTTGGAACTAGATGATCTTTAAGGTCCCTTCCAACCCTAACCATTCTATGATTCTATGATTCTATGAATCCAATCAAACCTATGCATGGTGTCCCAAAGCATGCAGACTTTGAAGGGCTGAAGTTATTAGCTACATGGCAAACTGACATCCATGGACAAAGCGTGAAAATTCTCAAACCTAGATTTTATGCTGAGCCTATGCAAGGTCATGAAACCATGGCCAAATGGTTTTGTGGCTCTTAACAAACCAGATTGAAAATGCCTGGTATAAAATGAAGAGAAAATGCCAAGAGCTACAGGAAGGGCATATTACTCCCACAGCATCATGTTATATCCTGCAATACTGTTTGCATATAACTCAGGAAGTTTCCTCTTTCAGCAAGCTGCACAACACCTTCATTTCCTAATATGGAACTTCAAATGAATAAAGAGGTAACTTTGACAGGTCTTTGCTAAGTTACCAGAAGACTCCACCACCACAGCAGAATTCCACAGACGGGTCCAAACTAAGAAGAAGCACGCTCCCAGAAAAAGATGAGTTATGTCCATTGCTACATATGTTTGACCAACATGTATAACATTTTACTGGCTCTGATTTTCAAAAAGAGAAACTTGAGTTTGGCTTTGATGTACACATTTCAAGATGTAATCTGAAAAAGCTCAAACTGCAAATGAATTCGTTACAGACTCAGTGGATTAATGTCCTGGCAATTTTTAAAGTAAAAGGTCACAGAAAGCTTTTTAATACCTTTTCAATTATATTGCAAATAACCCAAATAAACTGTTGACCCCATAAAAATCATTGGTTTTCATACTCATTTGCTTAACTGCATTCTTTTTTTCCACTAAATATGTTTTTCATATTCTAAAGCACTTTTCAGCATATTTTTTCCTCAAGAACCTCAAAGAAACGGTGTAGGAATTTAAAGAGTATTTAGTATACACATTTAGGGTGAGATCCTTTTCAATACTCTTTTGCTCACTGGAAATTTTAAGCATGGGCATTGTGCCCAATGTAACAACACATAAACCAGATGTGTTTTTCCATTCACATTGGGCAGGAAGTTTCATATTAAGCATTTCAATAATTGCACAAGAAATGTCTTATATATGCTGAAATATCCTTATGGCTTGATTTATACTGGAAAAATTAGCTGCCCCCTAGAGCAATAAATACCTGAAAAATTAAATGCCATAAGAATTTTAAACCTCCATGGGGAGTAAGGGATCACAGATACTCTCTGTTTTACTTGGATACCTAGATTTCACTATTTCCCCCTTTTCTCTTTGACGATTTCAAACATAAAAGTTTGTGATACAGTCACCATCAGTTTAGCTAAGCATGATTTTGGATAAGAGTTCAAGCAATCAAAAGTAGTGAAAAAATAGGCTGGGAAGGTCCAGATTGAATGCATAAGCAGCATAGGCTCAATCCTTGAGACATATTTTTGCGTGTGTGTGTTCATGTCTGCTGCTGTTATGATCTGTAAGTTGGGAGGGATGGAAATAAGCAGAATGGAGCAGAACTTGATTCAGTGATGTGTGCCTGAATCTCCAGAGAGCCTTTACCATTAGAAGTAAAACTCCTAGCATTAACTTATATCAACTCCTCAGGGAATGACAATCCTGAATTGTGGCAGGAAAACACTGTGCACCATAGACTGTGAATCTGCAATGGGTCTTGAAAACATATAAAGATATGTATGTATGTTGATGATTAGGGTAGGTAACCAGCAGAAGCCCCGCTACCAGTCCTGTTTGGAAGAGTGGAGCAGAAGCGGCATGTACAGCTCCTGCATGATAAGAAGTGGGAACTTCTCATGGGAGGAACCACACGAGTACTCTATAACTGGTGAATCAAGGGCTCTATATCCAGCCCAAAAAGCTGGATTTAAACTCTGTATTTATATGGGTAAAGAGGAGTGGAATTCTGGCCCTGCTAAAGTCAGCAGCAAAACCTTCATCTTTCCTGAAGACATATTTTACATTCAGTCTCCAGCTCTAAATTTAATTTAAATATGTACCATTAGGTCCTGCATTCAGAGGCAGTTATGTGAACATCTGAAATTCTTCTTCCACAACATCTACCTCTTTTGTGAAAACCTTGTAAATTACACTGAAATACTTCAGATTTTGTATGACGATGGGGGAAAAGGGAGCAATTGGAGCAATTCATATCTGCCACCGACACCACTCAATTGTATTCTTTTTCTTTTAGTGAGCACCTGAGTGTTACTGCACGTGTTTGGTCATGCAAATCTTACTCTGGCCATTCAAGAAAGGAAGCCTTGCAACATTTCAAAAAGTGTATCTATCACCCATTTAACATACTGTTACCTGAGCACTTCAAACTGTACCCTTTGCTCTTAGATTAGTGTTTTAACCTTCATTTAGCTACATCATAATCCTCTAAGATCTGCATCCAATGCAAATTTTTAAGCAGATACAAAAAAAGGTAGAATAAATACCTTCTGGTCTTGGCTTTGGTTTTTCCAATCCACCATCTTGCATTAGCTCAAACGCAAAGGATACATTGAGGACCTAGTAATATAATAAACGTAGTCACTATTGTGAGCTATACACAGTATAGTATACATCGTCAAAACAAGACATATTTCAAGCTGCAGACTCAGATGCTTGGAAGGAAAAATAGTCAGGGCTCTCTATAGCAACACAAGATCTGGTCCATGGAATCCAGACAATCCATTGTTTCGTTTTTTTCTGAGTGGTAACTTTGGTTTCAGAAATATAAAAGTAATTGAAAAATAACATGTGAACTAATACTACCCATAGAAAAATTACTTACAAGTAAGAATAGCCCACCTCCCGCAAGTTTAAAAATTGGAACATGATGGCCCATGAAGTGCTCATCTTAAGCAGACAGCTGAATTGCCTGGATAGCAATAACGCAGTAATGGTTGGTCTTAGAATGACACATAGTACATATGTACCTTCATGCTTCCTAAAACCATGAAACCTTTCAAATGTTAAATGCTTGGACTTTGGACACAAAAAACAGTTCTGTCATCAATTCATGTCTATAATTCTTTATACACTTAATGAACAGTAAGTCTGGTTCAATGACAGCATCACACAACTGCCAAAAGTTAATACTTGCTAACCACCCCATCATCACTATAGTTTTCCCCTTTATTCTGGGTAAGCAGTATTACTGAGATCTTAAAAATGCTTGGAAATAGTTACCAGTACAGTCGTCTCTATTTCAGCTGTTTACATCAAACTTGCGCAGAAAAGTCTGTGTCATCATTGTACTACTAGATATGCTTATTTGTTTATTTGGTTTTAACAGAAAAATGAAATTTAATTACCTTTTGTTCAAAACTATCAGGAGTCAAGAAAAAGCTATGCAGAGGAACAAAATAGCCTTCTAGGAGACCCATTAGCAGGACTAAGTAAACACCATCTGCAAACTGTCAAAAAAAAGACATTTCTCAGTACATTTTCTGTAGAAAAACTCATTGCTTTGGTTAAAGAACAAGATATATATTGTCTATTGAAGAACTGTCAACAAACTACTAATACAAATAATTTAAATCGCAACTAAAAGATCTCATCCCACTTCTTTGATTCCTTTTATTTAGTTAGCACGTTCTGTTATGTCTTCTCCAAAACTGACCTAATGCTACAGTATACATGCAGATTAAAGTTCCTGGTAAAAGAGGTGGTCACTGGCTTTGATCTATGCCTTTGCTTTCTATTCTACTAGTTGCAGGGAACCCGAACAGTCACCTTTCACGCTCTCAAATGGCATGCATTCCCCGAGCACAGAAAAGCAGAATGAAGGTGCAATCTCATGGCTGCAGTGAAATCCAGTATATTGTAGCAAATAAAGGAACAGAGAATCATCTTTGTTCATGTTCTGCAAGTCTGTGTCAATCTAATTTTAACTGTATGTTATTACAGACGGAAGATACTTAATTTCTGTGATGTATGTTCATTTCTATCTAAAAAAAATAGCAACATCCTACATTCTGTTAAAGGCTTCTCACCTTACCCCTGTGTCATCAGGCCTATCAGTGCACTGAGAGAGCCTCACAAGCAAACTGAGTTATCTGAAGCGACCCATCACTTTCCTGACACAGATAATTTTCTCTCAGCTGACAAGAATACAGTCTCTCATCTTAGGGAATACTGTTTCAGACAGATGCTTAAGGGGTTTGTAGGTATATATGAATAATATGTTTTTTCCAAAAGTAAACAATGCAGGCACAGCGAACACCTTTCTGAAAGGCCCTATACATTATTTCAATCTCAATCTTAGTTCTACCTTTGAAAAATCTCTATCAGGTCTATAGATATTAATTAAAGCAGAGATTCTTAATAACATTAATCAAGACATAAAATAAAGCCTGTCCTGAAAACACCTGGGTTTTTTTGCTAGTGCAGATACCATCCTTCCTGCCCGGCTTTGTAATTTTCTTATGATAACTGCTGCAATTGTTCACATGGGGAGGTATTAGTACAGCAGGATTAAGCTTTTCTTTTAGCTTCTTTCCAGCCAATTTAGCAGCTGAGAACAAGAAAAAAAACGACCATGTACCACATTATTTCCATGGTGCAATCAAGCCTGCAGCCCAACTGTACAGCTGCCTATGCACTTGAGTGGCTTTACTCTCGAGAATGTATCTCACTGAATAGAGCCATTGTAATCCCATGTGATGGTGTGCTTGTGTAAAGGTAGGCAGGAAACAACTGTTCAGCTTGACGTTGGCTCAAACCAAGCGGACACAGTTCTTTCCTGACCAAAACAAGCACAGGTTCTGCTTACAGCACTTGGCAGCATCCAAGAGGTAGCATCTGTTAATTAATTTTTATGCTAATGGAAGTACAAAAGTGTTTTAGAGAAATTTAAGCTGATTTCTATGCTTAATTGGTGAGGGACTTCTTCACACAAACATATTCAGAATTGAAGGGCTTCTCGCTGAAATAACATCCTAGAGCTCAATCAATAATAATTGAATGAAATTTCTGGATAAAGTTGGGGCATAGTGCATAACATAGTGCAACTATCCCTCCCCTTTAAGAAAGGGTGTAAAATTCTACCTGGGTCTCCAATTCAGTGACCTCCAAATTCAATTTATTCAGATGCTTGTTCACAAAGGTGATGAGAGTCTGAAAAAAGAAAACAATGTAGTGAAGGCCTATTCAGCAGGGCAACAGTTCAACGCATGCAGTATGAACTCCACTCAGAAGAGAACGTGCATGAGTGAAGAGACTGCAACACAATTCTTATGTTTTAAAACTGAAATGTGACTTTTTTTTTCCCCAAGAATAAAGAACAGAAATAAAGTGGACGTGATATATATAAATAAATACACTATTAAAACATAATAATTCATTTTAAAAAACTTGTAGCAGAATATAGGGAAATAGATAATTGGACTCCACTCAAATCTGACAGCAGCCAAAATACTCTAGGTCATACTCCTGGCAGTTGTAAACTGGATACCTCTCTGGCATCAGTACACTCAATCTACCAGTTGGGTTCTACTCAACATACACACTTTGTGAGAATTTCTTTTTGATGGAAACTTTGATAAATACATGTTTTTCTCTGTTCTAAAGTTAAGTTCATGCTGCTAAGTATTAATAAAAAGTAACATTATAATAATGGATTTGTATATTTGTTTAAGCATAAGGCTTAGTTGTATTTAATGTATGTAAATTGTGCCAATTACATACCTAACACACTCACTGCATATGTACAAACAGATACACACAAGCATGCACATGCAAACATTATGTATTTTAAAAATAAAAACCTTCCAACCTTTTTCACTACATTGAGCTTGTCTGGAGCATGGTCAAATAAAGTATCAAATGCATCTCTTTCTGAAAAAAAAATCAGAGTTGTTAATATACTGAGCCACAGTTGTCCAAATGCAGAATAAACACTTATTAAGGCACATGCTTGTTTGAGACAACACAGTCAGCAAAAGGTGTCAATATAGTCTCTTTGTATACCAAGTACCACGTATTTTGCATACTGCTCTCTTGCTATAAGCTGGTAGTAACTCATTCCCTATTATTTACAAAAAGCATCATTTTCAAATAGGATTTGGGTTAGCTAATAACCCTGTTTCTAACAAATGAACACAGAGCATCTTTATGCATAAAGCCTTAAACAGCCAGATACAGGGAGCTAAGTAACCTCAGCACAGAGGGCACTGTCTGGAGAACATGAGTTTACATCTAGAGTCACTGCATCTAAAGAGGAAGATCTTCCCCACTGGTCATTGACTGCATTGTGGTGTGCTACATTGCTAACCACCTCAAGCAAGCTTATGATTACACAGCTGCAGTACAATCCTTTGTATAGATCTTCTTGGGCTATTCTGATATGCAATTCAGGACATTATCAACAGCACTGAGTGCTACTGTAGTCACATTCTGAACAACAACAACAAGGAAAATAAATTTTAAAAGGCACCAGAGCCTTTTCTGAGCAATTTCCATTTCAACAATCACCTGAATGATAGTGACTGACTCCACAAAAAAGTTACATTCACATTCCTCAGTAAAAGAAATACTAGTGTAGATCCAAAAGCATTTGCAGAAGGCAGACTTTACACAAAAACTGCCCAGGGATATCATGGGGAAAAGAGGTCATGCATGCAGCATTTTAAATCAGCTGCAAGGCAGCCACTGAAATAATACAAGAAGCAAATGCTAAAGTTTTGGTGGGACTCCACCTGAGCTCCTCAGATGAGTGTTTTCTGTTGGCCAGGCATTTGGCCAGTCTCAATATTAGCAGTAAGACATACTAGGCACAGGAACTTGCACCGTGTTTAGGGCTGCTGAAAAATGACTCGAAGTCAGTAAAGTTAAGTAGGTAACGTATACAAGAACACCAGCAAGATCACCAGCTGGTTTATGATAAGACATCACTTCATATTATATTGGGAACTTATGACCATTAATACTACTACAGTAATGTTCTGGAGGTTAAACCACAAAGCACCTGCAAATCAACATGTGCTGAAAAGAAATGATGTGTTTTAAAGATGCTTTTTTCCTTTTGTTAACTGCTACAATAGCCTGTGATGCATATATTTATACATTTATCAGGGCAACTTGAAATCTACTTCCTTGCAGTTTGGTCAAAGTGACAACCTATTGCAGAACTAATGCATACTCTGGCTGCCTCAAGAAAAAGATAATAATCAAATGAACTTACCATGCCTTCCTGATAAGGCCCTACAAAAAAAACCAAACCAAACAACCCAGAGTTATATATAATTCACTTGCAGATGTTGTGCTGCAAAAGCAAACAGCATACATAGTCAGATCTTGAGCTTGGTGAAAACTGGTGCAGATCCACGGAATTAAGAAAACCTTCATCAGCTTACTACAGCTCAGAATCTGGATGAGTCTGCACCCCATATCTCCTGCCTTCACTGAAGTCTCATGAGAGGCCAGATCCCAGATTTCCTACTATTGAACCAAACCAACACACCTTGCCTGAGTGAAGGCGGCCTCTTCATTTTGCGAACACTCTTCCCTTTGCTTTAACAATGCATTTACCACACCAACTACTATACAATTCCAGCCAAAACAATGCTTGGACTGGGTTCGCAAGGACTGCAGCATTTTACTCCAGTTGATCCCTCATATAACTATTACATGTAAACAAATCCATAAAGATTAATAATAAGTCAATTCAATTCTGGCTTCTCTCCACTCTTATTAGAAACTAGGATATTCTACTATTGCCTTCAGTTGGTTTGGAGTAACTTTTCTGTATGCACTGTCTGGTGAGATGACATGTACAGGGCTTGCTACCGGCATTTTACATCTTCAAAGTCCAAACACATAAAATACTCATATCATATTCCTTTTTTAAATAATCTAGTTCTCTATCAAATAAGTACCAACATAAAAGAATGAGTACATCTTTCTTGCTTGTTTGAAGAAGCTTTGAATAAAATAATAAATATAATGAATACAGAAATATTGTATTCTTCACTCTGTCTTCTCTTTTATCCTCGTCTCCTGCTCTTAGTTCCCCATCTCTCTATTTCCTCACCCTTCTGTATTTTTAGATGCATGTCTGCAGCTCTTGAAAAGGCTAAAATACAGTCACTGGCTGATGCATCATCTTCCCTGGAACCCCAATACTGAAATCTAAATATCAGCAAATGTTTGAATTTCTGAGGCGCATCTGTGTTCAATTACTGAACTGCTGGCAAAAGTGGTGTTGACATACTCAGTGTTACCAGTTATTTCCTCTTGGATTTGTCGAGACTGGAGGATTCCTTCTCGTTTCTGGAAAAAATAAAAAAGTGACATTTTTCTCAGTAAAGTTTAATGCTTAGGGTACAGTGAAAATTTATTTGTGATCCACAAACATAATTAGATAAGAAACCTACAAAATAAGAACTTCTTTTTTTTAAACAAGCTTACTGTGATATATTATTTCACCTTGCAAGTATTTCAGAAAACTCTTTTGTACATTAACAAGAAACTTGAAACTCCACCTGTAGAAGGAACTATTTCTTTTCCTTTCCCCATTGTTCACTTTTAAAGTCCCCAATTCAGCAAGACATTTGAAACACCTAAACACATGTGTAAGTATTTTAGTAGAGGTGAGTTGAATTAAACCTTGTATTTCAATAAGCAGCTTGGCAGAGGGTGCCCATGTTTCTCTTCTGCAAAAATCTTGCTCCCAGGCTATCTGTTCTTTCTGCCCTGTTCCTACACTTTCTTTTTTGCCTCAAAATTTTCCTTTTCTGATTTCTCTCCACACAAATGCATTAAGAGGAGCATTAAGAAGAGCGTGGCCAGCAGATCGAGGGAGGTTATCTTCCCCCTCTACTCTCTCTGTGCTGGTGAGGCCTCACCTGGAGTACCGTGTTCAGTTCTGGGCTCCTCAGCTCAAGAAAGACAAGGAGCTACTGGAGAGGGTCCAGCACAGGGCCACTAAGATGATGAAGGGCCTGGAGCACCTTCTATCTGAGGAAAGGCTGAGAGAGCTGGGGCTGTTCAGCTTGGAGAAGAGGAGGCTGAGGGCGGATCTTATCAATATCTAAAGGGTGGGTGTCAGGAGGATGGGGCCAGGCTCTTCTCAGTGGTGTCCAGTGACAAGACTGGGGACAATGGCCATAAATTGGAAAACAGAAGGTTCATCCTGAACATGAGGAAACACTTCACCGTGAGGGTGACAGAGCACCAGAACAGGCTGCCCAGAGAGGTGGTGGGGTCTCCCTCCCTGGAGACTTTCAAAAGCCGTCTGGACTTGTTCCTGTGTGACGCGGCCGGGGGGGTTGGACTAGATGATCTCTAGAGGTCCCTTCCAACCCCTTCCACTCTGTGAATCTGTATAAAAAGAGCTCTATTTGCTTGTGATGGAAAAGCAAACTGGAGGATAATCCATTCAGAGCCTGCTCCAGACCCTAGTCATCTTGGTGTTAATAGATGCATTGACTCCCACGTTCTTCAGATGCGAGAAGCCCTCTGCACATGGCGGTGAGTGGCCTCTGTCTAGAAGCTGTACACAAAATGGCAGAAGCCAACTCAAATGGTCGCTATTTGAGTCAGCTGGAAAATGAAGTAGTTGAAAAATTTGACATTGTTTCCAGGCTGCTGATCACAGTCATCTGGTGGCGGTGTAAATACCGCACATATGTTTTGCCTCTCTTTGTGTTCTCTCTCTTAATTCTATTCACTGAAATTAGTAAAATTTTGCAATACAGAAAGAAAAGTCAGGAAAATGCTGACGACTGCATGTAAAGTCTAGACATTAGGCAATTATTCATGATTCTTCACTCGTCATACAAGGAAAGGAGAAAAATAAATTTATGCTGGTCCTAGATTTGCCTTCTATGTGGAAAAGAGAAAAGGAGAATAACCTTTTCAAAAAGTCCTTCATGGCATGTGAAGTGGGGCTGCTGCCCTTCCATGACTGGCAGAAGATACATCCCCATCTGAGGCAGACCTTGGTGTACGATGTGCTGAGCATTTGGCCAGGCTTTTTGACAAACTGCAATTAATATCAATAGGCATTCTGCACCTTAATGCATTGTTGAAAAAAAAAAAAAAAAGACAAGACACCACATCCTAGTTTTGTGCCTGGCATCTGCTCACCAACATTAATGGAATTAATGTCCATCCCTGGATGCGTTTAAGAGACAGGTGGATGAGGTGCTGAGAGATATGGTTTAGTGGCGGACAGATACAGTTGGACTGGATGATCTCGAAGGTCTTTTTCAACCCAGTGATTCTATGATTCTATGAATTCCCACAATGCCTAAATATGACCTGCATCTGCTGGACACTTATTTGACCAGCACATATCAAGACAGACTTTCCTATGCTTTTGATTTGTAAAAAGCCTGGTGAAAAAGTCCCAACAGCAACAGTCAGAATGGACCTTAGAAACACTAGTTTAGGCACCTTCTCTGTGAAGGTTGTTTCCCATACATCTTTTGCACTTTAAAGATTTCTCCACCTCAAAATGGATGCCACCAACCGATGTCACCTGTTGTGTTTTGTTTTACGCTAGACAGAGAATGACACAATATTCCTAAAAATACAAAGGAGTGCTACTAAGAACGGAAAGACTGTCCAGCAATGTTCCTTAACGACAACAGTGGCTATGACTGAAATAACAAGTTATAAGAATGAACATCTACTATTTCAAAGTCACTGAGAAATGAGGCATGAATTAAGATTCCCCATTAAAAAGAAAAGCTGGACACCCATTCCAGTGACCACAGAGTATACTATTTGGACAGGCTTGGCATTTTCTTCCCTCAGAGCTGAAACACTACTCTAAAGCCATGAAAGAACTTCCTAATCGCTTATCATTTTAAATTGGCAGCTACCCTTAGAACAAAAAATCTGGAATTTGGTTAATATATGTGGAAATGGAAAGGGTCTCTCTCCTTCACCTCTCTTCGCATCAGGTACACGTCAGCAGTTTTATACAACAAAGGACCAACTGCTTAATTTCCCACACAAAGTCCCATTCTGAAAACCTTCACACTCTTTGAATGGGTTTTGCCTATGTACTGTTGCTATCCATTTCATCTAGAGGATCACACTTCAGCATTGCCCTACCAAGACAAAATGCACAATTCTGGAGCTTGAAAGAACAAACAGGTTGGTCATAGTTTCAAAAAAAGACTTCTTGGGAACCTGGAGGCAATTTTTCTTGGAAACACTTCAGACCTTCGCAGGGCTTTCAGAGAAGCAGTGGGACCAACGATCTCAGATTAAGCCTGTGATGTACAACACCTTCTAATCTCATTAATTTCCCAGCTTTGCTTAACAAGTAGTTTATGCACCCAGGAATTGCTGTCCCAGTGCTCAGAATATGCTGAAGCCATTCTGGCTGCTCTGCCAACACGTTCTTATACTCTCTGACTTACAGATCTTGCACAGGCCCATAAGCTGTCATTTAACCATTTGTGGATGGCATAGATAAATAATTTTTTGAAAGAGGCAAAATGATGGCAAAATCCAGCTCTCCACAAAAGCTCTCACTTGTTTTAGTAGAAATGATCCAACAAAGCCTGGGCTTTTTTCAAAGTCATTCATTCTATTAGTATGGAAGGAAAAGAAAATAATAAAACAAAATAGCTATAAAAGGTCCAGCTATCACATTTTTTCACAATCATCTTATAACTGATTTTGTATTACTCTCATTGCTAACAGCTTTTGTAGAAAACAGCCAAAGGAAACAAGCTTTCCTAAGAACTTTGTTGATTACCTGTTGGGCAGGAGCACAGGTTTTGTTTCAGAAATATCTTTGTTTCTCTTCCAATAACCTACACCCAGCTAACATAGCAACCCCTAATTTTATGTGTTTCTAAACCTAACAAAAACATGAAATTAATTAGGGTCCTGAAAGACTTCATAGAAACACTTCATTCTTTTATTTCTCTGTTGCTACTGTTCCCTTTATCAAACTGTATAGAGTAGAATATAAAACCAGCTACCACACAGTCAGTTGACTTTCCCTAAGCATGACCTCACTTTACAGAATGTATGAGGTTTAGAACATGGGAGGTGCAAGTTTGAACACTAAATTAGACTTTAGGATCTGCTGATTGTTGATTAAAACTTTCACTGAGTTCAAAGGGTACATGATGAATTACACAGAATCAATCCCACAGGATATGAAAAACAGATTTAAAAAATAAAAAATAAAAAACCCACCTACCATAAAATAAGAATGAAAAATGTCTCAAACACAATTATGGTAAGAATACTGGCCCCACCCTCTGTTAATAGGAATCAGCATAGCCTTGAAGTTCCACTGACTGGCTTTTACCAAGGACTGGGTCTGCAGGGGAAAATCTTCTGCTACATTATTTGGATTTTATTCTGGTGCAACTGCTTTCACTACAGTTCACTGGCGCCTGAGCTACAGCTGTGTAGCTAAGAGGCAAAGCAGTGAGCCAGATTCTCCCACTACTTATTGTTTTTAAATTGGTTTATCTCTACTGTCTTCAGTGGATTTGCTGTTGAACAACATTAGCCTATTAAACAAGAGGACAATTACATCCATTGATTCCAACGGGAATTTTGTCTGGACATATGGAGTGCAGTGGACAGCAGAATGCAAGATCTGGTTCTTTCATTTAAAGAATGGGTGTTTTTTCTGGTTTAGTTTCTCATCCCAAAGATGCCCAGACCACTGCACTCCTGATTTCTTAAGGTGGTTTGGTAGAACTTTGAGATAAACTGGTATAAATAATTTAACAACCAAAGGAAAGTGCTTGAAAGGTATGTTCCTCTGAAGCCTCAGACACGTAAGTGCAGATTTGCTGGGGTTCTCTTTCATCTTCTGTGGAGAAACCCACAAAGCAGAATCTGAGATTCAATGACTCATTATCAGGCATCACTGATACATCTACCAGACTCTCCTTCAGATTTCTCCCCAAACTACAAAACTTGGCTGAATTGAATGCTGGAAAAAGGAGTTGTAACTTTCTCAGATCTGTCCCACAGAACTTAAGCAACAGTTCTTTGCACCAGATACTTCAGGGTAACATCAGTTAAAACACATAAATAAAGACAGTTACAGTGTGAAAAATAAAGGCAAAGTTAATTGGGGAGAAAGAAAAGCAGATTAAATGGGAAGAGGCCAAATAAGATAGAACAAGCACAAGTACAACGGAAAGAAAAAATGATGAACAGAATAACATGAACTGTTTGGATGGATGAAGCTCTAATAAGGAGACTGACACAAAAGATTTAGATGATGGGGGTTTTTTTGCATGCTTATGAGAAGCCAGCACTGTAATCAGACTAAATTAGCATGCACAAGGCTGAAAAAGAAAATTTAGTCACCTAGCATGAATCTGAATGTAATAAACAGTGACAATTCATCATTCAATGCCAAGAATGATTTGAATCTCTACACAAGTGAGAGACCGTCAAAAATAGGAAAAATAATAATTCTAGAGATCATATTGGGTGATAAACACACACATTCCATTCCAACAATAATAATGCTTCATATATTTTTAATGTCAGAGTCTGGCCACGTCACAATCAAAATAAGATATTCTGAGCCACAGCTCAATCTAGGAAAGCACTTTTGCCTTTTTCTGGTTGAAGCATTGTCAGCAGGGAAGACACACGTGTGTTTCCTGTCAGCCAAAGAGACACACACGTGCCCGCCCCAACAGAAACTATAGATTTATTTGTGAAGCAACCGCTCAGCCATTTTCACAACACTACCAAGAGCTGTTAACACCTCTCTTACCTGCACAACAACAACCTGAATGGACACATGATCTGGGAGTCTGATTGGTGCTCGAAAATACTGTGACAATGCAACCAGAAGATGAAGTATTGCTACGAGACTTTTAGCGTGAACAGCTGAAATAGATATTAAAAGCACAAGTTACAAACTGTGAAGTAACTAGGGCACATATTTTTACTTTTTAGGATGTAGGGATTATGGGACTCTGTTCCTCTTGCCACCTAGAGCCAAGGGGCACTTTTAAGGCACCTCTCCTTTACCGGTCTCCTACTGCTCAACAGGTCATGCAAATGCAGCCCAGTCAGTAACATGGGGCAGCACTAAAGTTCTCTTTCTGCAACATGTCTGGATACCATAGACTTGTGTAGATGGAAATCTAAAGCTAATCCGAAAGCCAGATTTCATGTACAGCAGTTTAAGTGCAGTCTCTGCATTCTCCTCGCCTTTCCTTTAATCCCTTTATTTCAATAAGGATTTATGGACTATCAGAAAGATATTTTTGTACTCATAACATGCACTTATTCATTTTTAAGTGTCACAATGTCTGCAGGATGATAAACGAGCCTATTTTGGCAGAAGCCTTAAGCAATAACTTACTAAACTCAATGACTCAAACATTCCTCATGAAGTTGTTATAGTTCTTGTTATTGAAGCTTTTTCACAGCAGGTTTCATATGGGTAGTTAACACTAACAAGACTTACAAGATATCAAAAGCCATACTGTAGGAAATTCTTAATCAAGTATCAAACCATTGGCATGAAAGTGAGTAATTTCTAATTATCATTGCTGCCTTTTTTCTTCTTCTATTGTGTTTTTGCATTTGGAGTCTTCAGAGTAGTATTCTAAATGATCTTTGATAGCTACAGTGCAGTGCACTTATGTTCTTTGTACTTGAACTAACCAATAACTACTACCTTACTGCACTGGTAAAGCAGGATTGGATTCATAAAAATGTACTTCTTCATGACCTCCTAATGCAAGTCTCAACTATTAATATAAAATGTGGCTTCTCTCAAATTTTGCTGGGGTGCCAGTGGTCACAGATGAGGTGCTTTAGTAGAACACTAAAAAGATGTCTGTCTGCCTAGCACCAGCATGTGCTACAGCTGGCTCCAGCTGTTGCTGTCTATCTCTTCCTTAGCTCCAAAACACATCTAAAACATTATATTAAAACTCGAAGTTTAAATTGTGAGGCCATTCCAAACACCCTGCATCCAGCTGCATAACAGAGAATGGAAAAAACCTTGAGGGAGGTTAAAGAGAGATGGAAACTCAGTGGGACCACATGAAGGGGAAAGCCAGAGAAGCCTAATGTTCACTCTTCCTCCCACGAGCTATTTCTCTCCCTCTCACTAATTCGTTGTGAATGGAATGGGATACAAACCAGCTCAGCTCAAGACAGGTATAGGAGCCAGGGAAACTGCTATATACTGGTCAAGGTATTCACCAGCATGAAATTATACTGGATACCAAACTTAAAACAGATTAAGAGTCCTAATTTTCTAAAACTGCTGAAAATCTGCTTTCTGCAACACATATGCACTAAAATGTCTTATGATGGGCCACTGAGGTTATTTCTCTTAGATAGTGCTATGTTCCTTTTTAATACAATAAAATAGGGAGGGTGCAGTCCTAATCTTGAGAGTTTTGTAATCAAAATCAGTGGTTCAGATTTAGCCTGAAGTGATCAGAAATATTATTCACATCCACGTTGCAAATTTTACACAAAGAGTACTAGTACCTAACTCTCCTTCTGTCTATCTACTGTATTTACACAGGTACTTGCCTGTTTCAATAAACCAATTTAATAACAGAAAACTTAAGCTGGTATGCATGTGGACCTCAGAGCAGAAATACCATACCAGGAGAGACTCCGAAAAGACAGTTTATTTAAATTGGAGGTTGAGCACCAGTAAAGGGGGTAGAGTGTACCACATCTGGAAGTGTCCTGCAGAGCAGCTCCTACCAGGTTTCAGCCTTCCCTTATCATTAGGTATTTCAGAATTCCACACTGCAGCTATAAACTACTGGCTGTCAACAATGCATAGAAGACTCACAACTTACAGTCAACATTCCATTTAATGCTTCTTGGAGGGAGTTTGAGGGTTTCATTGATCTTTTCAAGCACTGTCTGTAGCTTCTGTTTCTGAGCAATTTCAGACTGAGTAACTTCAGCAACATTCAGCTTCTCACTTTCCAGCTTCTCTGAAGTGATAATAGAAGAAAAAAAAAACTAAGAAAAAACATAGTCAACTCCATGAAGAACACAAGACATTCCATGCACCCAGATGCACATTCAACAGATAGTCCACTTCCTAGTTTTAAAACTTCTGAGCTCCTCCAGATACAGTTCACATTTTTCCCTTATTTACCCATTGCCAAGGGGAAGGTCAAGTATTAATGAAAGCCAAACTAATGGCTAACAAATATCTGCTGCAACTTCCTTTAGGGAACACCAGGCTTGGAGCAAAGGCCCATTACTTCTATTGCTACTGGATAAAGAGTATTCTGTATGCAAGTGGCTTGTAGAGAAGATCATCAAACCTAGGAAACAGATACTAGCTTTAAGAAGATTTCTTTCATCAGTCTCAGCCTCCCAACTTCTCCCTCAGACTCAGGAGATTTAAAAATATTACTTGGCTCATTTGTGGTAAAAGTGACAATATATTCACATGGGTGGAAGATGTACCCAAGAAAGGCAAGCAAGTATGAGGTATGAGCAAGTTCTGGAGGTATGAAAACAACTAAAACTTGGGTGATTTCTTTCGATGAAACCACAGCCCTTTTCTGCATTCAAAATTTGCAGTAGATTTTAATAGTTTGTTAATAATCAGTACAGACTGCTAGGTATATGCATATATGGCTTAGTGTTTATCATTAAGTAGTTAGCACAGAAAATGTATCAATAAAAGCTTCCTGATAACATCACCAGGAGCAAAATGCTCGGTCGCCTATCAATTTACTTCTATGAAAGAGTATCTTATTAAGTGGTATCTTATTTGGTAAGAGCTGATCTTCTTCTCATCAAATCCAAACAAGTATCTCCCCAAAGAGAGTGAGCCTGAGCTAGCAGCTGATGAATCCTGCCTAAGAGACTGCTGTCTCCATGGGTTTCTTGTGCGTCCACCGAAATCAGTCTGTGCATAGTCTCACAACAAGACCAAAGTCTTTAGTTAGCACAGACCTGATCCATAAGGAGTTAAGGGTAACAGAAAAGATTTCACTGAAATCAGTAAGTGCTGCCTCAGCATACACACATTTAGTCAGGCTGCATCTGATAGGTATTTTTGGGGGTTTGGGTGAAGTCACCAGAGGTCTGACCATAAGAATCAAATTGCTCAGTCTGGGGCATATCCAGTCCATCACAATATATTCAAATAGCTTAACCATTCATAGAAGGGAATAGTCTGTGTAGTCTTTATTAGAAGTGCTCACATAATGTTTCAAGATTCATTTAAGATACTGAAAAGAAATTTACTGGAGACTTTATGAGCTGTAATAACTAAGAAAATGGCTTCCAAGCCAACAGTTAAAAAAGCACATGCCAGCTCTGCATTAGCAGTTTCTTTTCTCTATCTGTTTCTCAGCTGAAGCTCAGTTTGCAGTCCACTGGGTACCATTACCTCAGTAATGATAAAGCCAGACATCAAATCAAAAAGGAATTCCAACTTTCCAGAGGAACTTCGCAATGTGAATAAACTATAGTATGGAATGAGCAGAGATTAAAAACATCCACCATTGTACCGAAAATCCCCTTGCCTTCAAACTTACTTTCCACTTGTAACACGGTTAAGTTTGTACAGCACATATGCAGATAATAAATTTAATTGGAGTGAATATGGTTGCCAAGACAAGAACTCTCCCTCTCTAGCACCCCAGGTAGGCTTTATGCTGTTCTCATCAACTACAGAGCACCACACATTGCACTGCAGCTATAAGGATTGTGCATACAGCCTATTGCTCAAGGGTCTCATAATACAATGCTATTTTTATATCACTTAGTGGCATAAATGTAAGATGATACTGAGGCTCCTAAGTAGGAACAAGTGATCTACTTACTGACAAAGTGCCCCAACAGCATGCATGTGTATTTTTTCTTACCAAATAATTTCTGCAATACTTGTCCATCATACAGGTCTTCAGCCAAGTCTTTCACAATAATCCTCTCTCCTACCAACACATCATTAATCCAGTCAATTAATACCTATATGGGAAACACAAATTTGGCAGTATTATACACTATTCATTTGCAATTTAAAACACATGTCATTTTGTACAATGATGAAAATATTTAGCAGAAAGAATACCAAAGCTGCAATGGCTCAAAATACAATCAGTGTGAAATACCATCAGAAGAAAATAGGAAGGACTCAGGAACCTTTATAAGGTGGCTTTGTCAATGCACCCCAAGGTCTAGACAAATACCAGATTGATGCAGCGCCTTCTGGAGTGAAATCTGTCCTTTGCTTTCAGTGGTACTTTAACATTCTATTGAGAAGCAAAAGGTGTTGATGTTGATTCTAGTGAAGCTTGCTGCTGAAGTTCTAACCCCAAGAATTACAAACATTATCAGGGAAGTCAGAGTGATCTTAGATAGGGGGTGGGATGGGACTAAGAATCCAGAGTCAGGGTTTTAATCCAAATTGTTAAGTCTCTCTGTGCCATACCTAGAGAAAGATAGTGCAACAAATCACCTGCCCATTTCACTGGAATGTACATACCACATGGTTTCATTTAATTAATATATGAATGGTCCTCTGAAGTGTCCAAATGAAAGAGGGAGGGATAGCATTAAAAAATAGTTTGACTTTCCTGAAAGAGTTTACAGGTTTCTCATTACCTTCATTAGTTCTTGTAATTTTGGGTCATTTCTTGAATTTGGATCAATCATTGTTCGGACTTCATTTTCCTCTAGAAGGTTTAAAAGAAAGATATTAGAAACTATTACAGACATGACACTTTATTTTACATCAAGCTTTTATGTTGAGATGTAAAATTGTTGTCAATTACCTAGCATAGTGTCCTCCGGGTCTAGTTCGAATGGAATTGGACTGAGAGGTAAGTTAATGGCATTTATTCCTTCTTCCTGTAATTCAGACACTAGGAAATAAAGAAGACCTTGGTCAAATTTCAATTCAATTTTCCTTACTATTTCACTCTTGCTAAAAGTAGCATTAATTGTCTTAATTTCTTTATAAGAACATGACTCTATTAGACAAGCCACTAGGTGTAATTACAGCAATAAAATAAAGCTAACAAAAATGGGAGGCCCAGCCAACAAACCTTTACTTGTATGAGTAGATTTTTCATGGATAATGGTACTGGAATCAATGCAATTTCCCCAAATCTTTTCCAGGATAAGGCCCGTTGTCCTCAAATTTTAAAAGGTTCACTTGCATTTCAATGGTCCTGACATTTTAAGACTAATGAATCATTTTAGCTGAGGAAATGATTACTGCTTTCAGCTATGTCACCCTTGCTCTGGAGATGCTTCAAGTTCAGCTACTTAAGAAGAGCTGGGTCTGGCTATATATCCACAGAGGAGCTGCCAGACTGATAAACTATTTAGGACTGAAGGTGCAGCTGCAGTACACAGCTCCCTCCCTTGTTCAGGTCAGAGACAGGCTAGAGCAGACTGTGGGATGCTTCTGGCCTGTGTTCTTGGCCTTTCTTCAGCAGAAACCACGGCAGCAGGACACGGGTGTAAGATGATGAACCCTCTAAAGTACTGCCTTACTGTGGAGTCCAGACATAGGTTGAGAAAGAACTTGGACACAAGAATGGGGAAGTAATCCAAAATCCCATAGTTTGGAGATGCCCACAGTTGTCAAGAAATATGGATGAGTTCTTAATCAGCCAAAATCCCCTAATGCTGCAAAAATCTTGCAATACATGCTCTAAGAACATAGGAATAGAGAGGTACAGAGAAGCAGTGTAAAAGCAATCCTGCTGCGAGTGCTGTACTGTACAGGTTCTGTACCTGGTACAGTTCAGATCGACTTCATTCTGGGTGACCCAAACTTTAATAGGCTGCAAAGACAAAACCCTTCATTCACTGCCCAAGCATGCCTCCGTAACAGGAGAATAAATATGAACAAGCCGACATACTAACGCTACCGCTGTGGAAGAACACATAGTGCTGTGCAGGGAGGGTACCCACCCTGGTGATCGGACAAGCTTTCATCTTGCTTTGTAACCAAGAAATCAGTGCAAGCGTGCTTTACCACACCAGGAAAGAGGCTCATTATGAGTGCCAAGTGATGTTTTGACCACTCATTCTCCAGCATAGCGACCTTCAACGCAACTGGTTGTTAGCACAACTGTTCTGGTCAGAGCTTAAACTTAAGTAACTGAATTCAACCATCCTACATGTGTCCTGAAGATTCAGGTAGTTGTATACACCTTCTGACGTGAATTAAAATACATGATTTATGAGCAGATGCAGATTCACCATCTAACATTTCAGATTCACTTTTGGAAAGCAGTTCTACCTCTCTGCCCTAACTTCCTGCATGCAATGACTACAGCCAAGTTTCACATGAACGCTGTGATAATCAGTCTGTTGGTGTGATAACTGTACTTAAAGCTTTCCTAATATTTGCTACACTTTGTGAAATGTTTGTGCTCTGCCAGAAGAAATGCCTGTGGACGTTTCAAGAGTCTGTGTGTAGCTGTATTCAGGCACCTATGTAAGATTCATAGCAATAATGGCTGTTAGAATGCTTATTACTTTTAATTGTACAAAAATAACTTTGAAAAATCCACTACCTTCAATACTGAAATACCAACTTCACTCCATACACTCACCCTGCTTGTGTATCTGTAAAATACAAATACTGAGCAGCTCCAAAGAGTCATAAAATAATGTCGACAATAATAGTTCCCTAGATTGTTGTATATCCTCTAAAACTGATGGCTGAGAGCAATGGACCAAATTAATCCCTCGTGTAACTCCATTGAGTTCTGAGGAGTTATAGCAAGGATGAATTTGGTCTAGCATGTACAATCTCAGGAACTGTTTACACTTAATGGCAATTTTTTGAACTGCTAGCACTCCTTAGAGAAAATCATTGTTGGTTTTATTAACCTCTTTGACTCCCCTCCCCCCAACCCCTTCTGGTTCAAAATGGTTATGGGCATAAAAACGTCAGTGGATAGAAAATTTCCATGCGGAGGTCCTTCTGTTCTGAAATGTTTAGTTCACGGAGGACTTCTGCACAAAGGTTCCTAGGCAGAAAATGTTTTTTTCACATCAATCCTAAGAGGGAGTACTGAGTGGAGCCAACTGGCTCCACTGAGCTCTCCTATCCTGAAGGGCTGGATGGTCTGCTTGGGCAAGACACGCTGGAGGAAGCAGTCAGCTCATTTTCCTAGTGAAGGGCAGTGGGGAAAGCTTTTGGCTCCTCTCTCCAGGGAGCAACCCACTGGCAGAGCTCACTGACACTCCTCCAGGGAGACTGAGCGGACCTTTCAAGGCTGAATGTTTTGTAAGGCATTATTTTCAAGGCCCACTGAACCACCCCATATTTGTCCTCCAATGTGCACAACTATTACATTCTAATTTTAATAACATGACCTTCAACATATTATCAGTGTTTCTGAAAATAAGAGAAAGCAAACAAAAAAACACCATATCTTTGCATGGAAAGGGAACATAAAATACAAACAAAATAATAATAAATGTAGGTGAGGAACTGAAACGTTGATCTGTTCTAGAATGCATTGCAAGTGTTATATTTACTGTACAGCAGGGGCTAAGTCCTGCTTTGCTGTATGCAGTATAAAAAAGTGGTGGTCTGGTTCCCCCAGGCAGCTCACCCGAATCACACACATTTCTCACACCTGCCCGAGACATATGCAGAACCTACCCAACACACCTCCGGATGATCCAGAGATCCCACATAGATCCAGTTTGCCAGAGAGGACAGCTCCTCCTCAGTCACTGCATTCTGCAGTGCAAAAGCCCACCCCAAGGTTGGTATTAGTCCCGTAATAAAGACTCCTGCTGCCCTCCTGAACCCTACAAGCAGAAAACATGATGGAGAAACCCTGAGCCCAACAGCATCTTTTCCATTTCTTTCCCAATACTGAAAAGATTTAACAACAGATTAATTCTACTACTAAAAGGAGCAGGTAGGAACACATGCATTATATCAGCTTGTATATATAAAGGGAGCCAAAATGTACTGTATGTATAGCCTCACTTTCTAAGAATTTCCATCAAAAAAGTTCCATGACAAACCACTGTTACACACTTAGGTGTTTACAGAGGAACCACAAAAATGTGATTGTGGTTAAAAGTTTGCATACCATAGTTTCAGCAGAAGAATCCATTTTTCAGTTGCTTTTCATTAATTTGTTTTAATTAATTTTCATGATAATCACTTCAGCAATTTAGTATTTTAATAAAAACAAAGGACACAGGTTTGGGACACTTTTTGCAGCAGGTGAAATGAAAATAAAATACTTTAATTTCTTGAAATATTTTGAGGAATGACTTGGAGCATCAGTAAGACCTCTTAAGAGTGTAAATACCCAGAAAGGGAGGAGGAGGAGACATAGCTGCAGCAGTTCATCTATACCACACCAGTTGCCAGGAGCTGGATCAATGCACTGGGATCTGTGGATAGTATCCACAGAGTTGTCTGCTTGGCATCGGGCGTGTTTGGCCACTGGACGACCCCAGCAATTAGAGCTAAGAACAGCTTTCTGTTCTCACCCTCTGCTGCAGCCCAGCTACAGCCCAGCGCATCGCCTACCACGGATGGGGCTTTTACTCACCGCACTGATACTGGTTTGATTAGGGACTTTTGGACATGAGAGGAAATTTTTGGTTTTGGACATGAGAGGAAAATCCAGCCCTTCAAGGTTTGTCACCATGCTGACTGGAACTGTGGGTTGAATGTACTCTTAAAGCAAGACCCTTACAAGCAACAGTAGCACAAGGTCCAGATAAATCTCTGTGGACTGGCAATGTGAAAGTCCCAGTTTTAACTCTGGATAAGGAATGGACACTTCTGTTCAGACTTCTGATTCAGCTTCACGTGCCAAATTTGTTATGATGTAATCAAGTGTAACTGCACTGCTATCAGCTGTCAACAGACTTCCTCCTATCATGCCAGCACCAAATTTGGCCCCAGAGCCTACAAGCTTGTATCAACAGCAACTACAGCAGCTATTTTAAGCTGGATAGAGTCCTTACTCGTTTAGATGCTCTAGGATTACAAGGTCATAAACCTATGCTATCAAATCCATGCGGGTGCTCTGAGCCAGACTTTGCCCTTTGATGCATGCATCCAACTGCCATTGAAACCCTTGGACGCCGAGCACATCTGAAAGTGGAGTACTGCCCATACGGTTTAAATTGGCTTAATTCCTCTAGTACATGCAGCCTGTTGCTCCACATTGTATTTATTAGACAGTTTCATTTGGGTTTTTTTACTTGTTTATTTTGTGTGCTGAAGGCTTTTTGCTGCCCTGTTTAGTATTCAGGGCTTAATGTTATTCTGATTTGAATAAAACACATCTTATTATTTAACTGAGCTCAGAAATGCCACATCACCCAATGCACTCTCTGTGGTTTAGACATATTCTAGCATATCTATCCAAAGAATCATAAAATAAATACAGCAAGATGTAGTGTTAAATGGTCTCTCCTCTGAATGCTACAGCCATGTCTTTCCACATAATTGATTCCATACTCACAACACTAAAAGTACTCAAGTGTTACAACACCAATGGATCAGTTCTGCAAGTTTGCAATTAACTAGAACCGAACCCTAATGTTGGGTGACACAATGCTTCTAACCTCAACCTTTCAAAATCAGGACATTTAAATATATACATATATCTACATATACATAGATATGCACCTACATAAATATATAAATATACACTTCTGCAGTTCTTTAACTTCCTTTCTTTCTTTAATGTGAGGGTTTTCCATTCAAGGTCTTCTCTGCCTTTTTTAAGGTTGCAAAGACTTTGGTATTTGTTTTGCTTAATTTTTTTTCTTGTGGAAGCGGAGATTTGTTGACATTCACATGACTCCTGGAGTTTAAGCTTTTTGTAGAAAGTCAAAGGACAAACTACCT